CATTTTACCACATAAGTCATATTCATGTTTGGGACTGCATGACAGGACTGTGTGGCCATCTCTCTTTCAAATGGCAATTTGTAATGCGCTATCATGGCGTCAACCAGGCCCGGTCTAACACAAGCACCTGCGGACCTTAACCAAGGTTACCCCAAAGTCGTATTCATTAGTGAATGAATCTCGGCCAGTGGAATTGGCCTTCCCATTGAGTCTGTGGCACACTCATCCAGGGTAGGGGTCGACCCTTTTGATGTTCAGCCTAAAGTAGGATTTGAACTTGGGTCTACCGATCATGAGTCTGATGCGACAACCACTATGCTACCAGTGACCATTTACGCATTGCGTGATAACTATTTTATGAATTTTAAAATATATTCCGTTGTGCTCATTCCTATGGCGAATTTTGTACATAATTAACTAAAAGTCTTCAAAACTACTGTAAAAGGATTAATTATTCACTGGGTTTTAATTTTGCTTATTTCGCTATCATGAGTCTGATGCGACAACCACTATGCTACCAGTGACCATTTACGCATTGCGTGATAACTATTTTATGAATTTTAAAATATATTCCGTTGTGCTCATTCCTATGGCGAATTTTGTACATAATTAACTAAAAGTCTTCAAAACTACTGTAAAAGGATTAATTATTCACTGGGTTTTAATTTTGCTTATTTCGCTAACTGGAAAATGCGCTAAATTAAAACCCAGTGATTATGTAAAATTTAGCATAGAACACATTATCTAAATGATAAAACAGTGGATTTAAAACCCACTGAATATGCCTGAAATTGTAAATCAGCTAAATTTAAACCCAGTGAATATTAGTCATTTTACAGTATGTGAATTTCTCCCCCAATATAAATATATAGGTTGTTCAGAATGAGGTGAGAGCAACTGTTATATTAGGATCTAGGGCTTTCTGGTATCTTTTCAACACATTAAAATGTGTTTCACCTTAAATGTCAGGTGATTTGTATTGAAACACTTTATGACAAAACACATGTACACACATTCCAGGGCATGTATATAAGGTCTTAGTAGACCTTATGAGAACAAGAGGTCCCGGCTTCAGAAGCTAATGAGATTAAAAACAGGAAAGTCAATGCATATCAAGTCCGGCAATGGAAGCATTTGGATTTTTTGTCGAGAAAAACGAGGTGAGAACAAGACATTTTACACACATTCTAGGGCATGTATATAAGGTCTTAGTAGATGTCACACGCAACGTAATATTACCGTAATTGGTATAGTACAGGTGTGATGGTTCAAATACCAAAATGGCAACAGTAACAGAAAGACTTCCCTGGCGGCGATGATAAAATACGAACACGGAGCCAACAGATGAGGTTTCAACTGGTACTGGTATTATTATACTCTGCAAACATCAAGTACAATAACGCGGTAAAACTCCACTACTCCAATAACTAGATACTTAAACTCCAATACAATTCAACGAGATCTCCGATCTGATCTCAGTGCTGAACAACTCCCCTATATATAGCTCCACTGTCTATAAATAGACCATTACATCAGCATACATAATGAGTCTGGCACTTACTACAAATTTCTAGAATGTTCCATTACCTTCTATTGCCTCTTACAGTGATCTATTACCTATTCAACCATTTTCTAAAA